AAAATATTAAATTAATTAAACAGAATTACAATGTGATACAGTAAAAATCATAAATAATATTCAACGTTAAACTGGTACACAATTAAAAACATTTTATTTAGGCTTTTCTATGGCCTTCAAAAAGTTGACGACTCTACATGTTTCGATGTTACAACGTCATCCTCGGAGTCATAACGTCGAAACATGTGGAGTCGTCAACTTTTTGAAGGCCATAGATAGGCCTAAATAAAATGTTTTTAATTGTGTACCAGTTTAACGTTGAATATTATTTATGATTTTTACTGTATCACATTGTAATTCTGTTTAATTAATTTAATATTTTATGTTACAGTTACAGAGAGCGTCTTCGTTTCCTAACTCACTTCAAAATATTTTAGTTTTCGTTCCATTTCAGTATAACGCCTGCAGTAAGTGTCACGTCTAACTACATATCTGTGGGAAAGTCGTTATCGCTACGTAAGCAAGTTGCTCCGCCTCATTTTTATTCCGAAGTTACGTCATTTAACCGTTAGACTTAAATATCACATGCATTATCTCATTGTTCTTAATTTCAAAAAATAATAAAATACGCAATATTTGAAAAGTACGGTAGAATAAATTTGTATTGAAACGTTCCACTGCTCTTCAAAGCGTAACATTTTAAAAAGATTTATGGCATGGGTGGTATTCTTGTAATATAAAAGTTTTATTCATTTCACCCCCTCTCCCAAATCTTTTTTTTTTCCTTCTCCCTATTGACTTGTACTAGTAAGCTATAAATTATCGTTCGTCATCGCCGAAACTGAAGTCAGGCTTCCTCGTAATGACGCACATCCATCACTTTAGCTGCCAATAGCAATTGGACATAGTCATGCTTTAAAATCTTCAATTAAGGATTCTCCAATCAAAAGTAACAAAATTATCATGTGACCTTATCAGTACTTAAACTCCCAGAAAGTTTGAGAATGGTTGGAAAAAAATGTATTTTTTTTTGTTTGTTTTTTTGCGTTTTAATAAAACCAGAAGAATAAAAGAAGAAAATGAAGTTTTAGTGCTGTATATGATAAAAACACTTAAAGTAATTATTCAAACTGTTCGCTTATTTCACTTTTTAATAACCTTGACAGTCTGAAAATAATTTATTTTATGTCTGTATCTCTAACGCAAATCGCGCTAGTAACTTAATACTTGAAAATCCCGAATTGTACGTGTACTAGTTTAACAAACACAGTGACAAAGAAGAGGTGTAGCAATTACATCGTAAACAGACAATATCAACTTAATTGTAGATGCTTAATATAAATGATATCATCAGTTTATTACAGTTTTTTAAAACTTATCGGCGACTTCAGTTATCACAATATTTATATCTTTAAGTCATTTCCAGTTATCATAATATTTATTTTTTATAGCGGCTTCACTTATCATTATATTTGAATTTTTTTAAAGCGAAAATGTTCTTTCGCAACACTATTAACAGTTGCAAAGTTAAAGTAGCTATGATAAGTTTTAAAACGTGAAAAAAATGTAACAATAGCTTACCAAAAGTTACCAAATATATTGGCACATGAGTTACTTCTTCAGTTTCTAAGGTAACAAGTGATTTGGATATTTATTACCTAGTTTCAGCGATGTATACAAATCTGTGGACAACCTAAGATAAGTATTAAAAATAATCTGTAATAATTCGAAACAGTGCATCAGAGAGAAAAAAATATATATTATGGAATAATTTCAATAATCTATCTATAAACAGTCACAATGAATAGGGTAATGATAATCGAAACTTGAAAGACGTGTATAATGACATGACCCGTATAGCACAATACGAAAACATGAACAGACATCAATATATCTGCTAAAAACCAGTACTCGCCCAAAAACAGCGGACTGCAAACAAACCCACTTGTTACGATGCTATCGTGCTAACATTGGAGGATAAATTACTTATCTATTTATTTCTCTTTCTCAATCTCTTTAACTTGACTTTTTCTAGTTCAATGGTGCGTGTTCAACAAACAAAGTGAAGCCATTATACACTACACAAACAAGCCCGGCTGCTTTATTCAGCTTATAGATTTGTAGTTTTCAAAAATCGATAGTTGTGTATGCCCCGAGCCCTTTAAAAGACTAGTGATGCTTCAATTTGTTATTCTGCTGTGAAAATACTTTAAGAAAAGTTTCAATAATCGTATTCCAGTTTCATGACGAATCACAAAGAATTCAATTGTACTATTAATTCAACATTTTTTTTTTCTTTTCTTTTTTTTTGTGGAGTGGTGGTGGTGGGGTGATGTAGCTACTTTTATTGTTTTATTGTTCAAGAATTAAATCTTCCTCGTTTCTTTTAGCAATAAAAGGTTAATTCTGATTTGTTTTATAACAACAACTGATTTAATTTGGTATTTTTTAACATGTATAGCGCCTTATTTAACGCTTGAGCAAAACAAGTTCAAAGACCCATAAGATTCAGGTTTTTTTTTTTTTTTTTTT